AACGCGTCGCGTTTAATTCGAATTTTATTGCCGCTGGAAAAACTTGTCTAGTCGACGCGTCGCGGTCGTTGAATAATAACGATCTTATTATATATATATATATATATATATATATATATATCATTATATTATTATTATTATTATGTATTAAAACACACATATACATAATATATAAATACGTTTACCCGCGGTATTTTACGACAGCCCAAAAGGAAATTGGCGTTTTTCTATTCGCGTTTTTCATTTGTGCCAAACTACCGATCTTTGACAGTAGTTTGAACAGACTATAACTACGAATAATCATAAAATAATATATCTATTCAGTCTTTATACTATATTTGAATTTTGAATAGTTACCTAGTTTTTATATTTTTAAACAGTAGTTTACTGGTTTCGAGTGTTATTATCACTGTCACACCTATAAATTGAAATAAATTGTATACATTGTGTATGATAATAATTTGTAGTACGGTTTATTACGCGAATAAAGTGAAATGTATAGATTATAATTTTAATAAAATCAGCAATGTCTTTCGTCAATCATCATCTTTGAAAACAAACACACATTTTCGTAACAATAAATTGTTCTCCCGGTTCTAATGCAGCCTTATTGCATTCAGCACGTACTTTGAATAAATGTCGGTCTAAATTATACGACTGTGCAATTTTATGATTATAGACAACAATTTGTGTTCTCTTTTATATTTATAAACTATACATACATATAAATTATAAATATATAATATAATACAATATATTGTGTATTTGTGTTTATGTTTGAAAAATCATTATAAAATATGAGAAGTAAACTCAAAGAATTATGTTTATTATTTTACCTACGCAAATAAAATATATTGCTGACTATACTATAAAATAATATAATAGTTGTTTCAGTGAATTATATATAATATTATGCAAAGCGTAATTGTAATTTTTTGTAAGTTACAGTGAGAAAATGAACAATTGAATTTGTCTTCCTGTATTTATACAATGAAAGATAAAAAAAAGATATGAACACAAGGTTAATAATCATTATACATAGGTATGTAGTATTAAATTTTTTTTAAACATTTTATACAGTGAAAAAGCAATTATCGGGAACATCAGCGTTATTTTCAAAAACAAAAAGTGCATTCTAAAAAAAGTTTTCCTGCGTAATATTATTTTGTCATTAGGACCTCCAGCACACCGGATATTATTGTTAATATAGCTGTTAAAAATCTGACGGTTTGTCAATTAGGATTCACACGTCAATATCAATCAGGCCGCCGGATGGGGTGCACGCATATGGTTATTAAGTGGTGCCAGAAACAATTGGCCAATCTCTATTATTAACCCGCCTGCTGGCCGAGTGACGAGTTTTGAAAAAAAAAAAAAAATAATAATAAACCAAAAATTGGAACAATGTCAGGGTATATTTCTAGAAATTCGTTGTTAAAAATGAAAATTAGTTTTTTGATATGTATATATAATATATATTATATATATATAAATAATTGAATGCAAATCGATCATTCCTCGAGGCCAATGAAGTATTATTATTATTATTATTATCATTATCATCATCATTATCACCATCATCATCATCATCATCATCCGATTTGCTCCACGATGGGCGTCGGGACGAGGCACAATATAATAATAATTTTTAAATTACGTCTGCCGTGGGTGATTTATGAGTTACGGCGCGCTCATTTGAAATTGGCTTGTACGCTCGTCTGTAAAACGGTATGGGTAAATTAGAAAATATTGTATACAGGGTGATTCTCTACAACAACTTGTTTGTCGTTTCGTTGTGTTTTATTATATTATATAATTGTATTTTTACTGCGTACCTTATTTTGAGATTTATAATAATTCTTTCCTATGTACATTTTATGAACCTATCTGTCATATTTCATTGACAGTACAACATATTATATATTATTGTAATAAACATAGTGTTATAGAGGTGTAATTAATTTTAAAATAATTGAATTAACTTTATGTTTAAAACCTCATGTACTTGGAAATTGTTGATAATATTTGTAACGCAAATGTTGTATTTATTAAAATAATATAAACCATGTATAGTATACAATTTATTTAAGTTGGATACTATAGTGTAGATTCTAGAAAATATATACTTAAATTAAATACATTATGAGTATAAATTATATTATTATAGGAGTAAGACGATAATTCCATAAAACTACAAATTACATTTTTTTCCATCTAATAGAATAAATATGTAATAACACAGGTAATTTAAGATAAAACAAAATAAAATTAATTTTGTCAGCTGTTTAAATATATAATTACATAAAGGTTTGACTAAATTCATAATATACAACATTAAAAATAACTAAGACTATAGTTGGACCCCATTTCAATAATACAATAATATATAATTCATATAGTTATATTAGTATTATTTAATATAATAATACTATTTTAATTTTAAAATATAAACTCAAGTTTAATTTTATATACATTATTCTTAAAATGATAATAATAATTTACTATCATTACTACGGCAATGATTTTCTAGATATACGTTTCAAGTTTAATGAATACATGACATTAATCTATTTAAAAGGGATATTTATGTCTGGAATTATACTTTACACATGGATTTATTATACCCTCAAAATATATTAAACGATCCCCTACATCATCAATGACGATTTAGTCCTATATTATACGCATATAATGTATTATATAGGCGCCTATTATTATTATTGTGACTATTCATACTCCTGTTATTCCCACGCTAATCACACGGTCCAAGTGAACCTGCAACACACATCCCTTGGGTGACGCAAATACTACAGTAATATAATAATAAAAAAAATCTATTATAAAAAAAGAATGATAACTTCTGTTGACAGTTTACCTGGTCACCCCTTTTTAAATATATATATATATATATTATATACGCAGCGGTTAACGTGTAGTACAAAGGGCATCACAGCCTCAATTCGTCCAAGCTGTATTTTTTTTATTTTTTTTTTTGTGTAAAAGACATATATTATTATATACAGCTAAGGCGAAATAAAAAATTACACTGCACAGACGCACGCACGTATCTATACATATATTACACACACATCGCATAGGTATATATAATATTATAACAATAAAAGGAGCATTAAAACGTGACCGTACCGCCAAGGCGTCGGATTACTCGAAATTACCTGGTTGCGGACCGACAAATTGGTCCCCATTAAACTCGGTCACGTAATAGTGCATACTTGGAATTTTATACCTATGTTTAACGTCTGCAAAGTTATCGTTGAAGTGTATAGGTATAGCGGTAGAAGTGATATAATATATTTGTTATGATTATAAATTCGATCACAATGAATGATACGTAAGGCGATGGGCGTCATCCGAACTTGCAAGGAAACGAAACTTTCGAATGCTTCGAGTTCCATGTTACATTATTTTTACAAATTATTATTGCAACGTCAAACATATTTTATAATAATATATGGCATTTAGTATTTACCCACGTTAAACGCGAGTTATTCATGTAAAAATATCGCCTTTTTTTGTTGTTATCGACGGCGCGCTGCGATTACTTTGCAGTGTCCCGGCTGCCATTACAATAATCTGCAGTAACGCTGCTTTGTAAACAATTTGCAATATATGTGCACGCATGTGTTTGAATCGACGACGCGTCGAAAACCATATATGTACGGAATGCGTGTACTCTGCACCGATACGTGCCATTGTTGTAGTTTGTTTGTCGTTAAAATTGTCTTTGACTCGAGACAACAATATCAATATCAATATATATATATATATAAATGTTTATACGTATTACTATATTGAGCACTTCGCATATAGACATATATATATATATTATATATAGACAAAATGTGATTTTTAACGAATCCACCCAACGCCCAAGTTAACTGACCTGATAATACGTCTACATGATATATTTTTATGAACGGTACACTCGATTACACGTTATCAATGGGAGCTGGCGGCGTCTGTTGTAGCCAAAAGAAAAACTGCAGTTCAATATAATAAATACATTATACAAAGATTACTATTGCAGTCTCTCAAAATTAAACTGTTAAGACTAACTATACTTATTTTAAACTATTTTTTTTTATAAATAGTCATGTTTAGTTTGTTTTAATACTAAACATCATTGAAATTCATACATAAATATATATATATATATACTATATATATACTATTTTTATTATTTATATATATAATATGATGTATGACATCTATTTTAAACATTTTAGATAAATAAGATAAAGCACTTTTGCAGCCTTTGAAATATACGACCACTTAGATCATCTTAAACATTGAATTAGTACACTACTCATCGTAACTATATAAACCTGTTTAATTTAAAATTTACATAATTTTTAAAATTATACGTTCAACTTTATACACAACGCGCGTCCATTTAAAACGAATCCAATATTACACGAGTTTGTTTATGCTATACTATATCACAGTACAAAATATTGATTTAAAAATATAAATCTATTATAACTTAACGAATACTTGGGTGTACGAGCGTAGGTGAAAATACATTTTTTTACAGTTATCAAACAGATCTAACAAATGTACTTATATTATACTTTCAAGGTAAACGGTCACTGAACAAATTCTTTTGTATATACCGTTGGCGTCTCAACATATTCTTAATTCAATATACTGCATACATAACATAATACAACTGCTGAACTTTGTAAAATTGTAACACCTTCCTTAACTTTATATATTTATATATATATATATATATATATATATATATATTATACAACACAAGTACATATTGAGATAATAAATTCTATTTATAAAATTAAAATCTTAACCTCATATAATTGTATTGGATTAATTATGTTGTCCAAAAATATCGATACTAATTAAATGAATCGTATTGATTATCGATCATATTTTAACTTATGTTCATATAATATGTCGTATAATTGAACAAAATAAAATTTTCATCAGATAGAATTTAAAAAAAATAATATAAATCGTACCTTTATCGTCGATCGTTGTGACAATTTTGCACAGGGTACATGGTCCGTTGATCAAAAATATACAAGAGTTGAGATTTGGAAAACACCTCGGTCGACGCTCAGGAAATCGACCGTTTATCCGTCTGTTTGAAAACTCTTCGAACGTTTATTTTTCGAGGAGAACTCGACGATTAGTATTAATAATAAAAATAACGTCGACGATGACAAAGAAAAAAAAAAATAAAAAAATAAAACTCAAAACACAGACCGAAATACCCGTCGACTGCGGCTATTGTTTTGGAAACGGATGGCACGGTTGGTGACGGCGGAGAAAGGTAAAAAAAATCAAATTTTAATATATTTTGTGTGTAAAGTAAAAAATAAAAGCTCGTAATCCGACTCGTACGAAATACGTTTCCGATCGACCGTGTGGCGTGCGCGTACGTCGTCTGTAAACAGTGTGTGCGCCCGGGGCCGGTGTGCCGTAGTACTCTGGCGCCAGGCGCTCGGCCGGCGGCTCGTCCGCGATCGGCACCGGTCGGCCAGCCCGTGTCCGCCCCCGCGCCGATTCGGCTCCGCCCTCTCTAGCGCGGGGCCCCCATCATGGAACATTTTTTTTTTCTGGCAGGCGCCTCCGCCGACATTAATGACAAATATAATAATATAACACCTACCCGTGTCAGTGTGTGTGCGCACGCGTGTGTGTGTGTGTGTGTGTGTGGTGTGTGCAGACGATGACCGAGACGAGAGAGATGGTCGTGAGAGTCGGCCAAGCGAGAAAAAGAAGAAAAAAACACACGACCGACACGTTATTATAATAATAATAATTATTATTATTATTCAAAACGTTTAACGAGCGTTAAATCGTTGGTCGAAGCCACCAAAGCGAAAACCGACAACACGAACGACTATGTGTATGGGTATATCGTATATTATATAATATTATTATATTTTATTACAACGTGCAAAGAAAATATGATGGGTATAACGTATACAGTTCGAGAGATGCGTTTTTGTTAATGAAGCGAAACGAAATCTGATTAAAATATATGCGATAGCATAACCGTTAATAAAACGATAAAAAATGATATACAACAAAATATGTAACACATTACACAATATAACACAAATAATAATAATAGATCGATACGATATTAATTATTTATTTGTTTACCTTGTATGTATTAAGTAATACCGATACCAAATATATATTGGATTAAAATTATGATTTATCGGTCATTATTTACGTATATTAATTTCCCGAACAGTCATCATACGTGCTGTTCTATACACATTATACCAATATCCTTTGTTTCCTATTTACGCTCTTGAAAAGCTCTTTTCCACCTTAATTTAATCATTATTCGCAATAGACTGTATAGTCACATATCACATATATTGTTACTATGATTTGTTTCCTATTTAAAACAAATCTACGGGCACTCTTTCCCGTTTTTTTTTTTGGTATTGCACAAAAGTTCTTTGTCATTTTTACTCTTTTTCTTCAACCCCCATCCCTCACTCACTTCTGAACACATTTTATCTATGTTTTTTAGTTCACATAAATCGTTTTGTCTTGTTATTTGATATTGATGGCTGTCATCTCCGTTTTTACTATGATATAATTTTACTGTAAATTTAATTTACTTTGCTTTCAGATTTTTTTTACCCAAATTAATTAACTTTTATATTTTTTCCAGCAAGCCTCAAATCGTATCTGAATAATCGATCATTTTTAAACCTAAATAGTTTTTTTTTTATGTTTTTAGTATTGTATGATTAAAAATCTGTAAAGATTGCTTATAGTTTCCATTTTGAGTAGAACGGATATTCTAGCACCCCTTACCATTTTTTTCATAAGCTATTTAAGTACTTACTTTAAATTTGTGTACATTTAAGCATTATTTTATATTTTTTCAGCGATCACTTAAAAGTATCTAAATAGTTCAATATACCAAGTATAATTAAGATATTTATTTTTAACTTATCAGGTTTAATCAATTAATAGATTATAATTTTCGGGTTCTATTATAACATAATAGTTTTGTAAACTAATTTTGGTTTATATTTTAATTGTGGGTGCTTCTAACAGTTCTTCTACAACAGTTAGGCTTAATAACAACCAACACACTGAACTTACGATATCAATATTTGCATTGATTAAATAACTATCTGTGCTAGTAAAATAAAACTATAATCTTAGTGTATTGAATATTAAAATAAAATACCCAATACGTTCTTAGATCCATCATGTTTACCTTCCATCAAATTTTCACTGTGAAGCAGTTATCACACAATAAACCTCCCACGCAGCTCTCTGTTTATCAATATACGTAGTAAAATCGTATATTTTCGGTGAGCGTTTAAAAAAGATTTAAGTTTGATTTTGATATTTTATTTAAAAAAAAACTTGAAATACATTTTAATTTTTCTGTAAATGAAATGAAATTAAAAATTTTAATTTTGTTAGATACATGCATAACTTAATACTCAATATGATTAACTTCTTATAATAATAAATAAATTTTGAGGTATACTTGGTCAAAAAATAATTTGTGTTAATAATATCATAAGCATGTATATAATATACATATTTTTTATACTTATATAACGAATTAAATTATTTTTAAAAAAATTGTTCAATTTCAAGTATTAAATATTGTAATAAATAAGTCATTCACCGCATAGAAATCAATTTTTATAAATAAAAAATTAGGTTATAAACAAAATGAGATAAATTAAACTATTAAATTTACACACGTGTGAAAATTCATTGAAATAATGTAAAATAATAAAAAGTTTATTTTATAATTTAAAACTTTTAAGCGGTGTAATTTAAATCACTCTAATCTAAACCCATTGATCTTTAAAATTAACCATGATATGAAATCCTGTATTTATGGAAAACTTGTATGGATACTTAAAACCATACTGAAAATATTTATGCCATTGCAGCCTAAAGCCCTTATGACGACATTCTGGAAATATAGACGTCAAGATTGAACGTGAATGTGTTATGGGTCTTTAAATAATATCATTATATAAAAAAAAAAAAATCTTATTGTCAATAATTTGTTATTATTATTAGGAATTAAAATTATGTTCAACACAATAAATTAAAAAACTCTATAATTAGCCTCATTCTAAAATGTGTTAAAACCATGTTGTAAATATTTTTTTGAATTATAGCAAAATCTAATTTTAAAATACTGTTGAATTTAGATTTGTTTGCAAATTTAAAAATGGTTCACTCTAATAGTAAAAAAAAATGTCATCTTAAAAATAAACGTTAATCTATACAACTCTAAACAGAGTACAGACTGATATTATAATATTATGTTTAGCTTAGTACATTGTAGGTATATCGTATATATTTATTTTAATATGTATAACCTGATAGTGGTAAATAACATAATACACTACACGTGAATGTTAATTCAACTTTTTTGTGATAATACCGATTAGAAGGACAACATGTTATGTGTAGGTACGTCGACTAAACTTTAAAACAGGCGCTTAGTTTTTGACGAAATTTCTTATAATAATAATATAACATTATGTGTTATAGTATTTTAATACCCACGCCCGCCCGCGTAGGAAAGCATGTCAAGTAAAAGCCCAACAACACAATTCACATAATGAAGTCTGGTTATTGACCACGTAATCTGCAATAAAATCATATTTATTTTTTACTCTTTATCCTGCTTGGATAATGTCCAAGTATGAAAAATGCACATATACACATAAACATATTATTCCCAATGCACTGTGCCTAGGATAAAGAAAAAAATAATGTCTGGGTTTTAATAATATGATATTGGACGTCTTTCTTTAAAAATAAATATTATATTTCTAATAATAATAATAATATATAAAATACTTTAGTTTTTCTGTCAATAATGAATCTATTCAACTCTGATTGTTCAAAATTTTTATATACCTAGGTATAAGTAATAAATGAACTTATACAATTGTATGTGTAGTTACGTGATAATACTATTTTTATTTTTTATATTGGAACTACCATATTTTTACTGTTAATTATTGATGAACAGATCAACCATAATTTTTTTTTGAAAATTTTTATGTATCTAAATAAATATTTTAACAAGCAGATAGTTTATGAATTAATAAACTGAGTAATTACATTAAGTATAAAATTTAAATATTTAGACTAAATCATACTTATCGTACTAAGACGATTTTTACAAATTATTAACTTTTTAAGAGTGACTAGTGGCGATACTAATTTATTTTTTTATATAAGAATTGCCTTTTTTCTTACTAATTATATTTAGCAATAATTTTTTTTTTTAAATATTAACATAATATCTAAATTAATATGTGTACGAGTAATTTTATAAATCAATATAATGTACATGCATTCTCTTTACATTTTATAAAATTTTTAAATAATTAAAAATTTGGTATTTAAATATATAAATGAAAATTACTTTAAAATTCTATAAGTTAGAATTAAAAAAAAAAAGAAGACTTATTTAAAGAAAAAACAATAAAAATAGGTGTCATTGAGGTGTAAGTCACTGTAATATATATGTTAAATTTAAATTAAAATAATTAAATAATAAGTTATCGCATAAAAACACGATTCTGAGAAAATACAGTTTGTCACACTAAAAAAATATTGCTTTAATATTTAACAAAAATGTTGAATTAGATGATAAAAGATAAACACAAACTTTAGCTTTTACTAAGCTGGTTGATTACCATAACTTTATAATTTGTTACATTTTCAAAAGTATTACTCTTAATGATTATTTTTTTATAATAACTTTTAAGTGTATTGTAATTATAATTATTTATAAGAGTTAACAAAATAAACACACTAACATAATGTTTGGTATCATTTCAAAACTGGTTAGTTCATAACAAATATTTGTATGTTGTTCACGCCTTTATGTTTTCTGCAGCATATATTTTGTAATATATATTTTATACTACAATTTGTTTTCTTATTTATTTTAGTAAGACAATATGTTGAATTAATTTTTGCTAAAATTATCGTATTTAAAATATTATTGTGTGTATAAAATATTTAATAATATGCGTTGAATTGTAAGTGTAAATAATATTTTAAATTACATAAAAATAACTAGAATCCTTATTCTTTGTTTATATATCTAATTTTGTCCAAATTTGAATTAAACTGTGCTTATATATTTTTAAATTTTATTCATTGCAGTATGAAATAATTATGGGGAACTTTATATTAAATTTTCAATTAAAAAGAATTTGAAAATGTTCTAAAACTAAAAAATGATTTGCAAATTGTCGTAATTTTAACAAATTTTAACTTTAAATGCTCAAAAATAAAAAAACATTCCTATGCAAGTGTAATATTGTTAAATGGCTATAATTGTAGCATAATTATGAGGAATTAAGCGAAAATTTGTTTTTGTCATCTTTAGAGAATAAAAAAAAATGAATTTTAATCGTCTATAAATAGCTTTC